TCCGTTGGCCCCAGAGTCGCGGTCGGACACGCTGAGCAGGGCAATGGCGGCGCCAACAGGGGCATCCTCCTTGACTGGCAGGGACACTGAAGTCAAGGTAATCTGGGGGACATTATCATTAATGTCTAAAACTTTTACTAAAAGTGTACAATGACCCGCCATAGGAGGGTGGCCTTTGTCTGTGGCATCAATGCGGATTTTATAGGAAGTCACCTTTTCATAATCAAGATTCTTTTTAATAACGACTTCTCCCGTGTTTGGATCGATGCTAAACTGGGCTAAAACCATAGCTGGCACAAGGCTATTAAACGAGTACGAAATGTCCTTATTCACGCCTTCATCCTGATCAGAAGCATTAAGTCGGATAACGACGGTGCCGATGTCGGCGTTTTCAAAGATTCTCACTTGGTACTCAGACTGCTGGAAACTCGGGGCGTTATCGTTCACATCCAGCACTGTGACCTGCAGCTGCACAGTGCCTGTCAGCTCAGGCTTGCCCCCGTCTGTGGCAGTCAGGACTAGGTTATGTTCCCGTGCTTCCTCTCGGTCCAAGGACTTCCTTAACACGAGTTCCACCTGTTTATTCTCCTCGTTCTTTGAGTTCACATCTAGTGTAAAATAATCACTGGAGCTGAGTTTATAGGTTAAGATGGAGTTGGTCCCAATATCTGCATCCGACGCGCCCTCTAGCGGAAACCGAGAATCAGGCATTCTGGATTCTGAAACAAACAGCTTTTGTTCTGTTACTGGGAACAGGGGCGGGTTGTCGTTAATGTCCTTCACCTCCACCTCCACGTGGAAAACCTGCAGCGGCTGCTCCACGATCACCTCCAGGTGGATGCCGCACGCCGCGCTCCGCCCGCACAACTCCTCGCGGTCGATCCGAGAATTCACAAACAAAATGCCATTCTGCAAATTCACCTCCAGAAGGTCCCCGCGGTCTTTGGATTCCACGCGGAACAGGCGCGGCACCAGCTCCGCCAGCTCCAGCCCCAGATCCTGCGCGATGCGGCCCACGAAGGTGCCGTGCTTGGCCTCCTCGGGGACGGAGTAGTGGAGCTGCCCGCTGCCCACCTCCCAGGCGAGGAGCAGCAGAAGCCAGAGCATCAGGCGCCAGGATCCGGGGGTTCCATGCCAGAAAAACACCATTTCAAGTAGTCTTTTTCTTTCCATTAGAAGATATTATCTTGAAATTAAGTAAACTATTGTATCGTCTGGAGACATTTAATCCAAGTGCTCTTCCTCCGCCATTGTTCAGACTGATAAAACCAGAGGGATCTTCTGGAGATTGCCTGGAGAGAACTTCTTGGTAGACAGCGACATCAAGTGGCTTCAAAGGGTAATGATAACAGGAATTTGCTTGTCTTGGCTGTGTTCCGGTCATTTTATTTCAATATTTATTATTCTAAATCGTAATAGGAGGTCATTAAATTATAAATTAATGTCCTTAAAATATAAAATATAGGCACTTTTATACTGTCTGGATCTTGAATTTATTCATTAATGTCCTCAAAGGAAAAGTTTCTTCCTAATATTTTAAATATTAGTGTTAATGAGCAATAAATTGAAGTATGATCTGCATAAGTCATGGGTATGAGATGTATAGAAACAATTCTAACTCTTCTATTTTTTTCCATCATACTTTTTAAAGGTTTGGGTTGTAGTTCACTTCCTATTTTTATTTGTTCAATAAATGTCAAGTATTTCTAATAGAAGACTTTAATATCTCTGCTGGTTGTTAAAAAATAGGTTTCTCATCTTCATTAATTTCTCTCATCAGAAAGTGTATTAGTATTTCTACTACTGGAATTTTCTGTTTGTACATCTTTCTGCTGATGTTGGTATTTTCCAAAATTGTACTTTACGTTTGTCATTTGTCTTATAGTATTTCCTTTACTTCCATTCCTTTGAATACCTCCACTGCTTTATTATGCTGCATACTGTAACATTGCCTACAAAACAAATTGACTAAAGCATGTCTAATCAATGTTGTTGTTTGTACATCAATTTGATTTACACGCTGATCAAAATTACATCTTGTTTTTATAACATCACCAACTGCCAAACTTATCAATTTTTGTGATGACTCCATGTCTCATACTTTAAATAGTCAACGATTCCCTACATTTATTTTCATGTATTATAATTTTGGGTTGTTTTAATGAGGGAAGTTTATATTGAATTACATTCAAACCTCTGAGTCCATCATGTTTTCGATGAAGAAAATACCAAAACATTTTACTCACAATATGAGGCAGTTCACATATCTCCAACCAATTCCCAATATGGTTCCTATTTCGTAAAAAAGACAATAGTTCTTCCCCAACACATTTTGTTCATGGTATTTCTTCTGTTGCTTTATCTTTACCTATAAAAATTCAATCTATGTTTCTAAGACCAAATCAAATGCTAATTACCTACATATTAATCATAAATGTCTCAACTGTAGATGATGTGCTCTCCTTTGAGTTCTTGCTAAATCTATTTTCCAAGTGATCCTCTCCTCACATATTGCAGATTCTGGCTAGCTTTTAAAAGCCTCACAGGTGAACAGATCATTACAAATACATTACTCTTTAATTCTGAAAGCATTACTGATACATGATCTCTTCTATCCACTCTTCTAGAACTGGCCTTTTATCAAGGTCACCTAAAATGTGCACCTGTGGTCCTCAAATTGTAGTCCTCAGAACAGCAGCATCAACGTTGTGTGGAATTTGCTAGAAATGCACATTTTAGAACCCTCTCAGGCTTAACCAGTCAAAATCTCAGAACAGGAGCCCAGTACTCTCTGTTTAAGCATGTCTTCCAGATGTAAGTTTAGGAGCCCTGGTAGTTCAGTGTTGCCTTGGTATTTGAACCCACAGTCAGCAGTCCAAATCCATCAGCAGCTTTCTGAGGGAAAAATGAGATGTCTGCTCCTGTAAAGATTTACAGCCTCTGAAGTTCTGGACAGTGGTTCTACTCTGTCCTCTCTGGTCACTAGAATCGACTCTGGCAATGTTGTTTTTGGGTTTTTTTGCTTAAGTATGTGTTCAGAAATCCATAACGTTGATCAGTGTTTTTCATACTAATTGTAGGATTTTTTTACCACAAACAAACTTTCAAGGACTCTCTATGGATATATGCAGAGAGCCAGTTCATTGTTCTTAAACATTGTATATTATTTTATATTATCAATGCTCAAAAATTTTTCATCGGTCACCTACTGAAAGAAATTAAATAATTTCTAATAAATGATGCTCTAATTTTAAAAAGCCTCAGGAAATTCTGATGGAAAGAAATTGTTTAACCAGGAGATCCATTTTAAAATTCCTAACTGGAATTACTCTAGAGAGGGTTATGACTGACCTCCTCATTATACTGCCCCCCTCCCCCAGGGGCAGCAAAGGGACCTGTCACTTACATTCAGAGATGTCATCATAAAATAATATTATCCCACAGTTTTCCTTGGATTTTCACTTTTTTCACAATCTTGGCCTTTACTAAGAGTCTATTCAACTTTTAATATTTAAACCTTAAGTCATCACATATGGCTTTTAACTCAAGACCCTAACAATCCAGATGTGTGAGGAACAGTAGCTTCTGTGGCATGCTCATCAGTTACAACTAATAAAAGTACACTGAAACTTTTTAGATAACAGAAAGGCGTTTTGAAAAAGAAAATAAGAGTATTTCCTCAGAAACAGAAATCCCTTGCTCTAGTTCTTGAAGACCATTTCCATAGCTAAAGAATAAAAGGTAGAGAAAATGGCATTGCTGATGTCCTCACGAAAGCTTTCACTAGTGAAGAAAAGCTCCATGATCATATGAGTCAAATAACTTCAATACCTAAAAAGCAATTTATCTATAAAAAGCAATGATAGTTGCTAAATGACGATGACAGTGATAAGGATGATCCCTTATCCACTTACAATACTTCCAATATTTGTGGAATTTTAGAAATTCCTAATAATACACTGTATTTTAAGTATATGCATGTGAAAACTAGAAAAAGGAAATGAAAACAATTACAGCAATCTTCAAACGTATAGAAATAAATAAGTTTTCTATTAAATAGACTACTCTTTCAACAAGATCAGTAAAATTGGACAATTTGATGGTTGCAATTTCATTGCTCATTGCTTATTGAACAGGTTCTTGAGTTCATATACCCCTACCTTTATTTTAATGTACATAAAAAGCAAAGTATCCCAAATATCTTAACAAAATATGATACAACATATCAACTGTGAAAATTGATTATCATTTACAACAAAATTATTTGTAAGTGTTTAGAGATAAAAATTTGAAGAATTAAATTCTTCTTTCCACTAAGTCTACAAAAGAGAACTGGGTCATTAGTGTGATATAATTATATGATAAGACAACTTGCAGGTTGGTTTTACAGGTTTGAGAAAACAAGAAGAATGAGGAAGTTCCTCTGTTATAACATATGCTATAACCTATACATACACACTAAAGTGAACAAGTGCAAAGCGACAGAGTAAGTTGATAGTGTTTTTATATTTGCTTTAAAAAAGAAAACCAGATTGTGTGTATATGTAGATGTATATCAGCATAGATACCTATGTTATACAGATAGCTCTTGGAAGGAGCCCTAGTGATGCAGTGGTTAAGCGCTAGACAAACTGAAAGGACAACAGTTACCGTGGACTTAATTCCTGACCAACCAGCTGCTCCTTAAGGGAAAACGTGAGGCTATCTGATTCACAGCCCCAGAAACTCTACATTGGGTCTCTATCTGGTGGAATAGGCTCAATGCTACTGGGATTGGTTGGGGGTTTATAGGTCTTGGAGGATATAAAAGAAGTTGAAAGACCCCAGAAACTCAGAGAAATAAGTAAATGGTTGTGGAATGGAGATGGCAAGGATATTACCCAGTTCCATTTGATTTCTTGGATTTTGAAACATGTGACTATATCGCCTACATTAACAAAGAATAAAACACATATTCTGCTTAGCTTGCAAAGAATAAAACATATTCTGCTTAGCTTGCAGTTAAGTAATAAATTAATATTAATTAATCATGGCAAATTTAAGTTTAAAACGCATTTTGTAAGAATAAAACATATTCTGCTTAGCTTGCAATAATCATTAATAAATTAATCATTAATTAATAAATTAATCATTAATTAATCATGGCAAATGTAAGTCTTCAAGGTAACTTTAAAAGAGATCATTAGTTACACAAATATAACTGAAGAGAAGATGAAATTGCCAAGCTTAAATAAAACAAGACAATTTCAGTACTACAAAGAAACAGGACATTAGAGGTATTGATTTACACGTTATTTCTAAAAAAAACAACACATACTTTATATATGTTGTGATAAAATTTCACTAAAATTTTTACTAAATATGCCATGTGTGTGTAGTACCCCCAAATAAAATTCACTGCCATTGAGGCAATTCGAACATAGATCAAATACAAGAACAGAGTCAAAATGCTCAGTGAGATTTCTGAGGGTGCGATCCTTAGGGAAGCAGATGCCCCCAAGTTTCTCCTGAGTAGTGGCACGTGAGGACTAACGAGCAAGCTTTTGATTCGCAGAGAAACACTTAGCCACTGTGCCACCAGAGCTCTTTGAAGTATTTAGAAGTGCCCCTCAATTTTTTAAATGTAATATGTAAAGAAAACCAACTACTTTATTCCAATTAATATTTTTGGGGTAAAAAGTGTAGGTCACGAATGATTTTTATCTAAGGCTAACATACTTCTAAAAATAAATCAAATATAACATAAACATCATTTGAAATAGATTTATGCAGAGAGAGCATTAATCTAAACGTACAATTTTATATAAAGAAACTAACTTTAAAATAAAATATGCAAAAACGACAAGTAGATTAATATAGGATTTTTTTTAATTGTTAGAAATAAGATTGTTTTAGACTCACGTTGCCTGGAGAACTGGGAGCCTGTGGTAGGCTGGGGCTGAAGGCCATGAGGTCGGTCTTGGGCGGCCCCTCCCCAGAGCAC